CTGATTCCCAAGCAACACTGGAATACTAACCAAAATGCCACAGTAAATTCCTCAACAGGGCTCTGAAGACATGTAAAATTGGTTATTATGAATAGTCCATTTTATTATGTTTTACATATTTATTCTTGCTATCGATCTTTAGTCTAATTAAAATGCATGTATCACTCTGCGTTTGTTATCACTCTGCGGATTGCATATGTTGCAATCTTCTTTTCATGAGCTGTCCATGAGATATTTCTTCTATCAGAAGATAATACTCTCTACTCTGGAATTATATACCAGTTAGGTGAGATATACTGCATGCCAGTATAAAATATACATAGTCCAGCATCCTGTTTTAGTCCTAATAAATTGAAATATCCAGAAAGAAGGGGCCTGGGAATCTGTACATTAAAAATAATCTCCAGGGTTGAGAACTACTGGTAAACCCACTGGCGTATCCCTCTATGTGTACTGGTAAGTTTCTCTCCCTTGGAGGTAGATCCTAAAAGGTTTCCCTGTTTATATATTTTATTTCATTAGAGCCTGTTTCTGATCATTTTTTTCAGAGCTTGTTTCCCACTATTGTCCAGCCAAGTACTGTCTGAGAACAGCTGTAGAAGCTATAGCTCTGTTTTTCCCTCCCATTCTTTTCTTTATCCCTGCAGCATCTCCGAACAGTGAGTTCCTAGAAAGTAAGGTTGTATCTTCTTCATCTTTTCATTCCATCATCTAACGCAGTGCTTGACACTTAACAAGTGTTTAGTAAACTGTTGTTGAATAATTTAGTGGTCTAAAGCTGCGGTCCCCAACCACTGGGCCGCGGACTGGTACTGGTCCGTGGCCTGTTAGAAACCAGGAGGCACAGGAGGAGGTGAGTGGTGGGCAAGCGAGCGAGGCTTCATCTGCATTAACCGCTGCTCCCCGTGGCTCGCGTCACTGCATACACTCCGCCTCCTGTCAGATCAGGGGCAGCATTAGATTCTCACAGGAGCGCGAGCCCTACTATACACTGCGCATGCGAGGGATCTATGTTGCGCGCTCCTTCTGAGAATCTAATGCCTGATGATCTGAGGTGGAGCTGAGGCAATGATGCTAGCACTGGGGAGCAGCTGCAAATACAGATTATCATTAGCAAGGAGGTTTGACTGCATAATAAATGTAATGTGCTTGAATCTTCCTGAAACCATCCGCCACAAAATTGTCCATGGAAAAATTGTCTTCCATGGAAAAATTGTCTTCCATGAAACCGGGCCGTGGTGTCAAAAAGTTGGGGACCGCTGGTCTAAAGAATTTCTAAGATAACATTGTTACCCTTAGTATTAAAAATCAAAATGGTTATGAAAGATACACATAAGAGAAGCATATTATTCAAATAAATGAAGTGTATTATCCTATAGTAAGCTATTACTGCTATTATACATTTTCCATTCACTGAAGAAAGAGCAAAAGAAATCTAGGGAAAAAATTAAGAATAAATTATGTTCGAACTTCATTTTGGTAAATTATAGCCTTATTATTTTGCGTGCATGTGCGTAGGGGGTGGGGTGGGTGTTATGTCTCAGTGGTGTGCAGGCGCCAGCCCATACCAGTTTGCAAGGGCCACCTGAGCACATCTCTTGCCAAGTCTGCATCCTGTGATCTCACATTGGTAGCTGGAAATTAGTCACAGTAGGGTATTTATTCTACAGAAATTGGCAGATACTACAAATCAGAGCGGAAAGCTGACTGTTACTAATAAATATTTGCCACATTTACCAGCACACCTCTAGAACATAAATGGGCAATAAATTAAATGACTTTAACCATATGGTAACTTCAGTTCTAAAGATAAGTGTGAACTTGGTCCTAGGAATTGAGTCAAATTTGCTTGACATTAACATTTCTCACCCTGAAGGTTAAAAGCACATCTTTCAGAGTTATCAATCAAAAAAAATTACTCTGACCTGTTCCTGGATTTGCTACTCGAAATGTGGTTATAGAATGCTTCATTCAAGAATTTGCTTATTTACTGTGTGCCAGGCATTGTGGTGGGTGCTAGGGCACAAAGATGACCAAGGCAAAATCCTTACAAGGCAAATTCCTTCAAAGTCATTATGACCATTTCTTCTCTTTTCCATTCAGTTGCAACAGTCAAACC